TCTTTATGTCATTTTAGAATGTTTAATACTTTTGAAAAGTGTTTGATAATATTTGACATAAGATATTCGTGCATCGCACGAACGTAGAGACTAGTACTATACTAAAGCACGAAGGCCCTTAGCGAAATATCGTTCGTCTTTTTTACCCTCTAAAAATAGATTTTATTTAGGACAAAATTGTAATTTAAGTTTTCCCCTTATTTTTAGGAGTTCTAAATTAACTAAAATTTTGATTTAAAATATATTCCTTATCTGAATATGTAGAAAGTTCTACAGTTTGAAATTGATTAAAACTTTACTTTATCTAAACACTTCCCTAGGAAGGTAACAAAACCTTCCATGTTTATTTTTTCTAATATTAATTTTCAGAATAAGGAAATAAAGAAAAGCAAATGAAAGGGAAAGAAGTAAAGGATTTGCGTTTCTTTGCATTTTTAACTCCTTTTCAAATCGATTATTTTGCCTACAGGCTATAGGAATAGAATTTTTAGTGGGTAAAATTATATTACAGTTAAATATTTAAAATTGGAGATGAACAATATTAATAATTTAAATCAACAAGAAAACAAATATTTCCTTTAATGTAGACAATAAATTATTAAATCTTTGAATTAATTAGTTAGTTTCTAAATTATGAATGGTCTTAACAAAATGTTATACACCTTTTTTACTCTTTAGAAATAGAGTTCACACCAGACAAGATAATCATTTAATATTTTTCTAATGTTTAGGACATTAAAAACAACTAAAAATATAATTACTAAATCTTTCCTTAATAGATAGAAAGTCTAAAATTTGTGGCTTTAAAATTAATTAAGATTTTACTTTATAAAAATTCGTTTCTTATAACAAACTATATGAACGACCAATACTCATACAAAGACTTTGAAGTCAATTAAAATATTTGTTCAAAAGAAATTGTGTTTGTCGTATATTTTATTTTTTTAGCGACACAAACATTTTTTGTCACGACCCGGATTTCCCACCCTCGGGAGTCATGATGGTGCCTAGTAATGTGAGCTAGGCAAGCCAACCTTTAATCTAAATACTTCATTAACCAATTATTTCTTTTTAACAATTATAAGGCGATAACGTGATAATAGCGGAAATTCAAATTTAAGCGGAAGACAACAATAACATATATGAAAAACTGTATCTATTACAAATACTTAAGCCTTAACCACCCAAGACCTGGTGTCACAGTGTCACAGTATCACAGACGGTCTAAGATTTGCTACATACAAGGTCTGAAGAAATAACAGTACACTGTTTCTGAATAAAAGGAAAACGAAACAGGAAATAAAGGGTAGAGGAGACACCAGGGCCTGCGGACGCCTGCAGGTCTACCTTGGATCTCCGCGTGAACTGAAAATAGCCTCCAACCTATGGTCCGAAGTCAATAGCACTGGGATCTACACAAAAGAGTGCAGAGTGTAGCATCAGCACAACCGACCCCATGTGCTGGTAAGTACCTAGCCTAACCTCGGCGAGGTAGTGACGAGACTAGACCAGACTACCACATAAACCTGTGCAGTTCAAATATATACACAGCGGAAAAGAAACACACAAATATCCAGTCAAAATGGGAGGGGAGCATGTTGTGGGGGAGATAGCAATTCCGAATAGTAAGACATTAAATAAGCGAAAGAAATAACATAACTCAGATATCGACAAGAATCAAAATTCAATAAATGCACAGCATCACCCTTCGTGCTTTTACTCTCGTCCTCACCCAAAGCAATCATAAAATAAAAATATGTACGGCATCACCCTTCGTGCTTTTACTCTCTTTCCTCACTATATAATCAATAAAATCGGCACGGAATCACCCTTCGTGCGGCACGGCATCACCCTTCGTGCTTTACACTCTTTCCTCACAATAATCAATAAAATCAGCACGGAATGATACATCGTGCGGCACGGCATCACCCTTCGTGCTTTAACTCTCTTCCTCACCCAAACAACAATCACAAACAATAGAGCAAGGGAATCAATGAAATTGCAACAAAGGTCCCAGCAAGGGAACAACATTTCAACAAATAAATCCCGGCAAGGGAATAACATCAATAATATCAACATCCCGGCAAGAGAGATATCAAATAACTCAATAATAGTCCGGGAAGTGTGTCAACATGATAACTTCTTTTCTTTCTCACTTTTACTTCACAATTCACTTCATAACTCGAGCCAATACTCTAGAGATTCAATTATCACTTACTCTTTCACAATTCGTTACATAACTTGAGCCAACGCTTCTCAATGTTCATAAGTCACAATTCCTTCCACAAACTTTACACAACATATAGAAACCTTCACCAAGGCATGAATAATACAACGAAATCATGGAAATCACAATATAAGACTCACGGTCATGCTCGACACCGACGTATAGATACTCGTCACCATGCCTATACGTCGTACTCAACAAGAAACAAATAGCAAATAGGACACAACTCCTAATCCCTCGAGCCAAGGTTAGACCAAACACTTACCTCGATGCCACGAACACAATTCACGTCTCAATTATCGCTTTACCACTTGATTCCACCACCAATTCGCTCGTATCTAGCCACAAGTTACTTAAATATATCAATAAACGCTAAATGAATCAACTCCCGTGCATGAAAATAAGTTTTCCAAAGTTTTACCCGAAAAGTTAAAAATCGCCCCCGGGCCCACATGGTCAAAACCCGAGGTTCGAACCAAAACCTGATTACCCATTCCCCCACGAACTCAAATATATAATTCGTTTTGAATCGGACCTCAAATCAAGGTCCAAATCCCCAATTTTTGAAAAACCTAGGTTCTACCCAAAATACCCAATTTCCCCCATGAAAATCATTGATTTTAAGTTGAAATTATGTTAAAAGATGTTAAGGAGTGAAGAAAACGAGTTAGAAATCACTTACCAACGTTTTGGAGAGAAAGGTTGTTTGAAAAATCGCCTCTTATGTTTTTGGGGTTTTGAAAAATAAAAAATTACTGAAGTTCCCGTCTATTTATACCCCTCTCAGACCCCCTGTGCGGACCGCACAAAATGGACTGCGGCCGCACAGCCCTTCCTGAGATACTGCAGTCCAGTGACCCTGTGCGGACTGCACAAAATGGATTGCGGCCGCACAGCTCTCCACCGCGCACCGCACAAAGTCGACCGCGGACCGCACTGACCCCTTCCACGGTCGCACACGATTTCTCGCGGACCGCACTAGCGGGTTCAGAGATCTGCAAGTTCTCTGAACCTGCAACATCTGAGTTTTAGGCCTAAGACATCCCAGGACCTACCCGAAACTCACCCGAGCCCTCAAGGCTCCAAACCAAACATACGTACTAACTTGAAAACATCATATGAACCTATCCGTGCGATCAAATCGCCAAAATAACATCATAAACATCGAATTAAACCTCAAAATCAATGAAATATTTCAAAACTTCTTAAAACCTCAAATTTTGCATTTAAGGTCCGAATCTCGTCAAACGGATTCAGTTTCTCACCAAACTTCACATAATTATCATAAATCATATATAAGACCTGTATCGGGCGCCGGAACCAAAATACGGGCCCGATACCAACATGTTCTAATCAAAATTCATTTCCAAATCCTTTTAATAATTTCATAAAATTTTCTTTAAAAATTCATTTCTCGGGTTTGGGACCTCGAAATTCAATTCCGGGCATACGCCCAAGTCCCATAATTTCCTACGGACTCTCCGGGACCGTCAAACCATGGGTCCGAGTCCGTTTACCCAAAACGTTGCTCGAGGTCAAATTAATTCATTTTATAGTCAGAATTTACCATTTTTCGCAAATTTTCACTTATAGGCTTTCCGGCTACACACCCGGACTGCGCACGCAAATCGAAGTGATGCTAAAAGAGGTTTCTTTTAAGGCCTCGGAACGTAGAATTTCATTTTAAAACAAGTGATGACCTTTTGGGTCATCACATTTTTAGACTGAAACTATGGCATATTTGTCTTTAATTTGGATTTTATTTATATTTAATGATTTTATTATTATTTTAAGAGTAAATTTAGAAAAAAATCTATCAAAATATATTTATAAAAGGCAATAACAATCATAAAACGAAAAAATACATGAAGTTATTCTTAAAATGTCAGTCATAATGCGGATTTTCTTTCAAATTTTAGTCTTTGAACTCCGAAATGAATTTAACTTATGCGTAATAAACATGACATTACGTGTAGAGAAAAATTAATTGAACGCCACAAACGCAAAATGAGAATTACGGCTAAAAATCAACATTCAACATTTTCATGAACATATATTTTTAATTTAATCTTTATTTATAACTCAAGCAAATTATTAATTAAGTGATTTTTAAACTTTTATATTTATTAGTATAGAATACACTAGTTTGTTTAATTACTGCTAGCCAGTTCAAGTTAAAATATCTTGTAAAAAAAAAAAAAACCTAAAATATAATACTTGTACTATTTCATTAGCCGAGTACTTGAACTTGTCCTCGGCATAATTTATATTTTATTCACACCAAAGTTGTCCACACTTGATGTTGTACGTATTATTTTACCTAGCCTAGGTAGTGATAAACTTGAGGTAAGAATGTGTATATAAATTACTTATGATTAAGTTTACCATGTTTTTATTATTAGAATAAAATAAATATACTGAAAATGACAATGTATAGCACTCTCAAAATAATAGCCAAAAAATATAAATTTTTGTATATATATACATTTTGGATGTTATATACAAAATTATACAAATTTTATATAATTTTTCGGCAACCGAATGTAAATAGTTTCTGGCGCGGGCTAATATCCCAATCATATAAGCATGGGACGTGAGCTTTGAATACATAAATACCCTTGAACGCATTCTAAGATACACATATAAGGAAAGGGCAGTAAGTGAACTAAATAACTATGCTTAAATTGAATTGAAAAAGTATGCTAGAGGGTAAGGACTAGTTTGAAGCGGAAATTGGTACCCGGTCCGAATTTGTGTTACGGTTAAAAGACAACCCGAGAAAGTAGAGTCACATTATCCTAAGCCCTTCCTAAACCCAAGCAAAGGACAAAGGATAAGGAGTTACTTTTAAGCATTTGCGACTCCCCCAGTTCACTTCTGTATAGTGCGGAGGTCATCAGCAATGGCTTCTGTATTGTCTACTTCCTTGTATCAAGGTACAATTTTACTTTTGCAGCTTTAATTATTCTTTTTTCCTGCTGGTATAAAATTGCAATTTTTGTATTTGCAGATAGAGGACTGAGAACTATGGTCTCTACTGATGGATTTGTTCCTAGCTTTTGCTGCCCATATCGGAAGGTATTTTTAGATTTCCTTTTTGTTTTGGCGTTTATCTTTAGGTGTTACACATCTTTATTAAGTTTGTTAATCATCAGTGAAAATTTTCATAAATTTCTGTTTTTTTCTCTTGACGGTTTTGTACTCTGTATCTATTACTATCTCTTATTGTTAGATGATAGGTTAGAAGAAGAACTTTTGAAAAATTGTTTGTCTCTAGGAGTTCAATTTTTTATTTTTTTTTTAATTCTTTTATGAAGTAAGTAATTGTCATTAAATGGCATCAAGAAGATGCAAAATAAGTACAAAAAAGATGATAATGTCAGCTCCAAAATACAAAAAAGGATCAGTTAAAAGATAAGGGAGCCAACAAAATCCAAAAAATTAACTGGGAGTTGTACAGGTTTGAGGAAATTCCAACTGTATAGATTAACTAAACATGAGCCCTTCTAAGTCTGAGTTGGAGTTCAATTTGTTAACAGGAGTATGTATTGTATTGTCCTGGGACCCACCCAGACATTGTTTACAGGTACTGTCCCTGTTTCAATATGGCAGTTCAAACTTGTCTCCAGCAGTCCATTCCAAAAGGCTCCTTTAGCTCCTTGTATTAAGTGTGAGAATAAAGAAAAGGATCAGGGCTCTCAGGGCTCTCAGGGCTCCTTTGAGCAGGTTTCTGTTGAGCGTTACCCTTATCACAGTTATATGGACTCCACTTCTGGGCAGCTTGAACCAGCTTCTGGAGCTCGCGCTAGTATTCCTGGGCAGGAGTACTGGCCAGAAGGCACAGCTAGTCGGGTTCGAGCCGCCAGGGCTCCTGAACCCACTGGTACTTCAACTGGAACCCCATCTTATGGAAAAAACCCTGGAAGTAGAAGAAAGAAGTACAAGGCATCTGCTGCCGCTTCCAAGCCTTCAGAAATCAATATAATTTCTGATGATTCGGCGGGGAGTCCAGATAATTTACCAGAAGAGCCAAAGGATCTTTCCTCGGAGTATGTCATTTATCAGCCTGAACAAGAAGAGGAGCTGACAGGCTATGAGCTGGATAAAAGACTCGGAAAGCCCCACCCTTTTATTGATCCGAAGGCAAAGAAGGAAATAGAGAAGCCACTTACTAGTGAAGAACTATGGTGGAATTGGAGAAAGCCTGAAAAAGAGCAATGGTCTAGGTGGCAGAGGAGGCGGCCTGATGTCGAAACGGTCAGTACCTTAAATAAGTATTATTAAGAAGTTTAAATTGTTTTTAAAGTATGTAATCAGTGTAGTTTAATTGTGCCAAATCAAGGTTGACTGTCAACGCTGCTCATGCTAGTTGCTGGATGAGGATACATTGTAAAATAGTTAAATACAAATCCAAACTGGATAAAATGATATCTTTGGAGAGAGACTTATTAAGATGAATATAAAGAATACAGTGCTAACCACTTTAACCTCATGGTTCTCAAGCAATTTCACTTTGATATCATCAGTTTTAGAGATTCTTTTTCTTTTTTCTGAAACAGGTGTTTCTTAAAGCAATGGCGGAGACAGGACAGGTAAAGCTCTATGGTGACCATCCTACGTTGACAGAGACTGCACTCTACAGAGCAAGGAGACATCTATATAAGGAGGAAAGGTAGAATCAGCGACTTTCCTTAATAATGTTGCATCACATGCTCTGTTCTACAAGTTATAGTCTTGTACTGAAACGTTAAAGCATTGACCTTGTTCATTTGGTATTAAATTTATTCATTAGCTTGTATACTGTTGTACTAGGAAGTGTTCGAATTTATTCTTTGGAGAGCTTATTATTGTTATTACAATGAGTCTAGCAACGATTCATTGTACCTTCTCTTTTGTCATATTGGTTTTGTAAATTATAAATAGCTTTAACATAAATGAATTGTTAAAAGTTGGTCATATTTGGGATCAACTCCATGTCATTTCTCTTACTTCTTGCCTTCATCTAATGTTTTCAAAAGCTATTGGTTCTGCAAGCACTCCGAAGCTGGTCTTAGGGTTCTCTTTGGAAGTCAAGTCTTGACTTCAGTTGGTTTTTATTTTATTTTTTGTTACTATTTTATATTCATGGTGTCTAGACCACCTTGCACGCACCTTGACCAGTGCACCGGCCTATATATCCAGCATATGAGCACATGTTGGCTAGGTAATCGTGTCCACTGAGGTTAGAACGGATGGGCGTACACCAAGTGTGTAGTTACGATTTGAACTTGGGATCTCCAGGTCATTGCTCCCATCCCTTAACCACTAGGCCATGCCCTCGGATCCCATCCCTTAACCACTAGGCCATGCCCTCGGAGACCCATTTTGATTTTATATTTTTGGAAACTTGCTTCTTATACTGTTCTGTCCTTCTATTCCACAGATTTTGATTTGCGAAATGACTTGGTAATCTAGTTTTCCAGTTCAAGATGAAACCAGAATACACTTTCTGTTTGGAAGTAAGATCTAATAAGTGGGTTTTGCAGGCTACAGGCTGAAAAAGAGAAAATGGAAAAGATTGGCCCTATTGCCTACTACTCAGAGTGGGTCCAAGCTTGGAAGAAAGACACTTCACGAGAAGCCATTCAAAAGCATTTTGAAGAGACTGGTGAAGATGAGAACACTCAACTCATTGAAATGTTCTGCCATCAAACAGATCGTGAATACCGCATAATGATGGGAACTGATATCCGTATTCCTCGCGATCCATTGGCCATGAGAATGCGGGAGGATCAAATAAAACAAAGTATCTCCTTTCCTCTGGCTGAACTATGCTACCTTTCTGCTTTTTTCTTGTGGGTATTCATGTATGCTGCTGGGTTTAGAAGTGAAGGTGGCTAGAAGTTGGCAAGTCATTTTGTTTCCAGTGTAGTTATAGGGCTCTTATCTTTATTATTTCAGGATATTACCATTAATAGTGCTGTCAAATTATTATTATTAACAAAAATATCTGAACATAGCCTGAAATGGTTGAGGTATAAAAAGAATACGTCTCTTCTGTATTGGAATTATAAGTTAGTTTAAAACTTAAGCAACTTTTCTTCTAGTTTGTTTGAGTTTTCTGTTCCACTTTTGACTGGAAATCAACAATTTGCTTTTTTCTTCTTCTTCTTCTCTTTTTGTGCAGTTTGGGGTGGAGATCCAGTTTACCCAACCATTAATTACATTCAGGATCCAGATGAAGTGATTGATTACAGGGGTCCAGACTTCCATGAACCAACACCAAATATGTTGGCCTATCTGAAAGAGGTTTGGTCAAGCAACTTGCTGTTCAGTACCCTACATGGTCTTCCTGCCTAGTTAACTTTGTTCACCTTATTTCTGGTCTTTTTCACATATGCAGTGAATGCAGTTACATGCTGCATTTATCATCAAAAGCTATAAAATTGAAACATAATGATGGGTTTCATGTTTAAGCAAATGGAAATGAAGATACTCTGTACTAAATGTTGTTCATGCTCTTGCCTTTTCACGCGAGATGTTGCATTTTTTGTACTTTGTAAAGATATTGATGCTCAATCTCTCAAATAGCTAAAAAGATAAAGCTGCTATTTCCAGTTGGTGTTGATGGTTATCCAAAATAGTTACTGCTAACTTCCTAGTAATTAGTAAATACAGATACAACAAGGCAGGTCGTCCACTAGATGAATGTAGTAAAATGGGGATAGTAAGATGGATGTGTAGTTTTATGATTACATCTGACAGAGGTTGCAAGTAGCACCTCCTATAAGAGATAAAATGAGATGTTGTATGAAATGGTTTGACTTCTACATAGACCTCCAAATGCACTGGTAGGTGGTGAATGTGTTAAAACTGGATAAAATAGACCTAAAATTACAGGCAGAAATTCTTTCAAGAGGCCTAAACCAATCAGAATCAATGCGGATTTAGCACGAATACAATGGAAGCAAAGGATCCATGTTGTAGGCCATACTAACTTTTTGCTATTAAGGATTAGATGTTGTTGCGCCACTTACATAAGATCCGGTGCTTATTCTAATTAGAGATTTGCAATTCCTGTAGAACTAAGTATGAGATATATGCTAGTGTTAGAGAACCCTTATGTTTCCTTAAAAGATAAGGCAATGGATTGTAGTGTGGGATATAAAGCAGATAAATTTTCAAATGACGATGGTTTTCGGGCCAGATGGCGAGCACATCGACTAATTCGCCAGCAGCTTGCTACAGCCACCAATTTTAAGGGCAGATGAGCTTAGACTGAGTGTTGTAGTTAGGATTCAAACCTGGGATCTTTAAGTTGTTTTTTCTACATCTCAACCACTTACCCATCCCTTGGGAACATACAAAGGATTCATATAGCCGATCCCAACTAATTTACTATTAAGGCTTAGTTGATTGATTGAGACTTGAGGGATATGCAATTTGTGAAATTCTTTTATGAGTAAACAATTAGGTGTGTATAGCTAATGTGGAATGCGAATAATATCTCTTCTCAATGTGTTATTCTACTTTTGGAGATAAGGAAAATTTTCAATTTTGGGAAATGGTCTAGTAAATTATGATGGATGAAAAATGAAGGTAAGTCAAAGAAAACTGAGATGGATGGAGTGCAACTAGTCAACCCAAATCTTGCCGATAGTTCCACTTTATGAAGATTTGACTTTACTGGGCTTTATGAATGGGATGCATCTAATCAAAAGAAGTCTAGTTTGGGTTGCTGATGGGAGATGGTTACCACCTATATGGTGTAGATAAATTGTAGCATACTTTTTTAACTGTCATGTTAACTCAAACAACAAAAAGCTACAGGTATAGTTGTTGTTAGCTGTGTCTAGAGTTGATATACCTGTTTTATTAGCCTATCATTTGCTGATTATATTCTGGTTTTATGGGAACATTTTGTTATCAGCATGGCAAAATAATATCAAGAGAGGAGCTAGAGAAAATTCTGGCCAAAGAGAAGACAGAAGAAATTGAGGTAATAACTTACTATAGTGCTTTACTGACTCGTTTCATCTCTGAGGTTGGCGTATAAGGCATTATTCCTTGCAGTTGCGTTTGTTGTTTTACTGCAGTACTGCAAGTGAATTGGCATACATGTAAAAAGCTTCAAATGAGTCGTTTATCTTTTGGTTGTTTCTAGAATTTACTTTTTAAATTGTACGAGCAAAACTACTCTGGATCTCACGCATAAATATGTCGCAGATAGTTTGAGCATAAAATCGTCAAATTTGACTATGGCATGCTGTTGTCTACTTGATTCGTCATTCTTTACATATGCATCAAATAATCTTACAGTCATCAACAACCAGATATTGCTTTCTATTAGTTGTCTCAGTCTCCTTTAATTTGAGCCTATACAGTAAAAAGTACTTTCTTCTCTGCAACAGGTGGCGGAAATTGATGAAGCCATGGCACGAGCTGTTGACATTGGTGAAAATGATGTGAGATCATTCTTATCCTTTCTTTGCTTCAATTTGGTCTTTCATGAACTTTGTTCTGCTTTATGCTGAACTTTTGAATTTACTATTTTGCTACGTAGGCATTATATACCAATTATTAGTTTATAAGTAACTTTTCTTGGTGGTTCAGGACGAAGAAGAAGGAAGTGATGCTGAAGTTGAGGAGGGGGATGAGAAAATTACACGAAATTGGAGTGTTTTGAAAAGCAATCCTGAGCTTCGCAAATCAAAGGTAATTTGCTTTCTAGTGATCATCTTTTTTGTGTGTGTTTCCTTCTGATCATATGGCTCGATTTGTTGACACCATTGAAAGGGTGATTGGTTTTTGTTATATACTGTTATATAGTTGGTTACCAATTTGGTTTTACTTGATGTCTAACTTACCAAAAACTGCTTTATTCGTGCTATACATATTCTCCTACATGGTTTATAGCAAATCATTCCCTCAAAGAATTCAATGTGTGCTCAGAGATGCTGGGGAAAAAAATTAATACTACAGGATGAACCAGTCCTGCAGATCCACCTCCCTCTAGAACAAAAGAAAATGATGCTTGCTGTATTGAATTGGTAAAAAATTGAAGGGAATCGTGGAGCAATTACATGGGGTTGGTAATGCCAAAATAGAACCTGCCCGCAAAACAGAAGAAGAATAACTCTGTAGAAAAGGATTAGAAAAAAACTGTGTAGAAGTATCCAAATGGCGAATGATTCGAACCGTTAGAAACTAGGCTTCAAGGTCCACAATTTTTCTCCAGGAGTTATGATCAAATTCTTTCAATATTAAAAGTTGTGCATTTTTTAGTTGGATCATGTTTCACTTGTTAGTATAGACACAAATTTCCAACTTTTAAAGTTTCGGGTCACTCCATTTCATCTCCTTTTCACTCTAACGCACTCCTAATATGTCTTCCCCTAAGTAGAAGAGTAAACCCCTAAAGGGTAAGGTGTTCTAAAATTGCTTGGCCGTTGATGGTGCCTGTTATTGCCTTTGAGTGATTATTTTGAGTCTAAAAAAAAGTTTAAAATCCCAACAAGCAGGTTTCTTTTAAGCTCACGTCTTAGTTTGAGCTCGTGCTGAACACGGGCGTTTTCTCACTAATATGCTAAGAAAGAAGTGTCTTGCTATGGATTAAAGTACATGGTCAACTTGTCTTGTCTACATCATGAGTCAATAGTCATTTCTATCTTCAGTATTAATCCATGGCAGAATATGACTAGAGGAAATGAGTATTATGTTCTCCAAGGTGCTTCAGAATATGTTGCAATCCTAATTCCATTTAAACTAACGAACTGCCATAGAGCAGTGCATTCTTGTTTTTATCTTTCTCTTGTCTTTATCTATCCAACCTTTTTCTCTTTGAAATTTACGAAGAAATGAATAACAAACATTGGTAGAAGTTCATCCCTATTATCATCTTCTTAATGTATTTTGTATTTGGAGCTTCACAACAACATGCACTTCATGACGTTGCAGGAAAAAACCAAAAAGAAAGACATGTCTCTGGAAGAAGCTGTAGATGATTCTGAGAATTTGACGGACTTCCTCATGGACTTTGATGAGGATGAGTGACTGATGGATGCCAGGCTATTAAGGTGAGTTCATTCGTCTTGAAAGTGGAAGCATTTAACAAAAATTTCTTTAGGTGAATGCATCTATGTTATGTGCATTTACTGCATATACTTTCAAATAACCTTTTGTTTCAACTTGATGAGGCATTATGCAGAGTCTTTTTGTCTAATTGTAGAATTCTGTTACATTTATTTGGATTTGTCTGGTTAAAGGAATAACCAGGGTTCCCTTTCAAGCATCTTTTGATGCTTTATTGTTCCTGGGCCTATCTCTCTACTAAGAGACATTATTCTCATCATTTTACTGTCCCTCTGTTCTTGTTATGCTTCTGGAGTTTAGCGCTTTCCTGTCTGCTGGGCTATTCTAGAAGAGCTGTAACGTTGGAGCTAGTTGGTGATTATTGGATTGGGGTGCAAACATCCTGTTTCAAAGTGGTATTGGAAAAGTGAAAATTCAGAATGTAAAGCAACCGTATCTTCTCGTTGAGCTGGTTTAGAAAGCCACTCTTCTGATTTAGCCCTTTTGTGCCAATCAGGAGCATGAGTTTGATTTAGAGTTCGGTTGCATATTGTGGGTGTTACTTTTTTTGCAAATGTCCACATTGTTTTATCAATGAGAGAATTCATTTCTACCTTGCAGGATAAGCAAATGATTGTATCCCCGTCATGATGCCAGCAGCATCTTGCCCTATGATGAAGTCGGTGAACATATATTGAATTATTGATAAGATCTGGCAGTAAGGCCAACGTACGGCAAAACAGTTATTCGTTGATGTTGCTGTGACAGCTAAAACAGCATTCAGTGAAGAACTTCGCCCCAGAAGAGTAGATTTTTGATAGAAAGCTTTGGGTAACTCTGATTATCCTGTGTAAAGCAAATGACGAGGGGAGAATGCTAGTACAGTAGCTTGTATCCAGCGCACAAAATGTGAAAAACTTCTACAGCTATGATTGGTATGTTAACCTGAAATTAGCATCAGATATTATCTTTTCTAACATAAACTCAGATGTCTTGTATTCGTTTCAAGTTGAACAAGGGAGTGTATATTGGATTATTGGTATTTATGGTTCAGGGTTGTAGCTGCTTTTATAGTAATTTCCGGATAGTGCATTCCAAAGAAATTAGTTCTGTGTTCACGTTTCATAAAGTGTTTTAACAGTTAATTTCCAGAATTACTCAAAAAAAAAAAAAAAATGCGCCACATGGCTTGTTTCGAAAAAGCGGGGAAGTAGTAGGAGCACTATGATATATTTCATATGTTACTTACTTGTGAGCAGCAATTAGTGTTTGACAAAATTTTTAAAAAGTGATTCTAAGTGTACTTTTCTCAATTTTTTTTGGGGGGAGAAGTTATTTTTATCTGCTTGTGTTTCTCCTCAAAAGCACTATTTTTTTCTGTTAAAAACTTGACCAAACACTTCAGCTTTGAAAAAGAAAAAAGTGCTTTGGCTTTGGAGAACCTTGGCCAAACAGGCTAATAGTCCTATTGAATTGGAGAGATGTTCAAACATTGGATGTGAGGAAATTTGCCTGCTGGATTCAATGAGCTGCGACACCTAAGACATCTTCTGCTGTCGAGTTTTCTTTGATAGGGAAAAGGGATTTGTGAAGATGGCTAGTGGCACAAAACACTTTGTGAAGGTGCAAACACTATCTAGAATTGAATCAGATGAAGACCTAGTGAAACAACTAAGAAGTTTAATGAAATTCTATACGGGGTAGATGACAGAAGCCAACAGCAAAGATTTTTGCCAATCTTTAGAGACAATGAGGAACTTGAGAGGTCTTTGACAGTATTAAGTAGAGTCCATTTGAGCAAAACATACAAATGGAATCGCTCACAATGTCAAGCAAGTTTCAATCATATCACAAGTCAATGGCCAAATTATCAAGAAACAATTCAAGATTTCTCCCATTAACTAGTATTCAAATGGATACTGACATATCCTGTTATATTTTCACATTCTATTGTATAATGCAGGCAACGATCTACCAGTCTTGGGATTGACGTGAGAGTTTACATTGCATTATTGCCCTCCAATCCAATGTTGTATATTTGAAAGAGGTTGAACAAGGCGTTTCTTTCATGGTTCATTCAAACGGACAAAATGTAAGAGTAGAAAGAGTTAACTAGCTCTTTAGACAGAATTCCTAAGGAAATGTATATTTCAATTTCTGTTTTCGGTTCTGTTCAACTCTTTCATTTAAGTTATGCACGTTCGTATCTTCTATAATTCCTGTGATTGTACCTAGATATATTTTACTACTATGTTTCAAGTACTAACAAATGCTAGTGTTAAAATATTATTGGCATTTTTGTACTTTGCCCTTCAATGCAAAAGTTATGCATTGCCTGCGGGATAAATTCATAAACTTTGACGTTATTGACGTCGCATTCTAAGTTTCTAACACCGTTGCCCTTCATCACATGATAACTTTGATATGGAATTTGTCTTTATTACGAGCTAAAGTTGGGATTCTTTAATAATTGCCGAACCTTTTATTATCTTACAATAAAAGAAAAGGACGAACAACCAGATCACAAATATTTTTATTAAGCAACCAGATGCAATTTATTGTTCACCAATAATTTCGACAACGGTGTGGCATTGAGCAGCAGAGCAGCTAATACCCGAAAGGGCTGTACCAAAGGTGACTCAAGTAGACTCAAACACCTGTGGACAAACAATTTAAATGACACCGAACTAGATGCCAATTGAACTATAGAATGATGTAGTGACCCTATCCAGTTCAAATTCATAAAAAGCAAATCGTTTATCATAAATCAGTTTTCCTAACAAAAGAGCTTGGTGCAACAGTACCCGGGTACACAGATGTTAAATTTAGCACAGCACATAAGATTGGTATCTCTAAACAAAGAGAAACATGGTCCAACCTGCTAAATTTATCTAAGCTCAACGAAAGCCATTTTAAGCAGCTGTAGCTGATTGAGCAGCCAGCCTCTTGCGAGCCTCTTCAATGATAGATAACTTGATACCTTTTCCTTTAGGAAGAGATACCCACGGCTTAGTACCTTTACCAAGAGTGAACACATTTCCCAAACGGGTAGCAAACTCGTGCCCCAGGGCATCCTGAATGTGAACAGTCTCAAAGCTACCCTTATGCTTCTCCCTGTTCTTAATAACTCCAACACGTCCCCTGTTTCTACCACCAGTCACCATGACCACATTTCCAACATCAAATTTGATGAAGTCGACAATTTTATTGGATTCTAAGTCCAGCTTAATGGTGTCATTGGCCTTGATGAGGGGATCTGGATAGCGAATTGTTCTTCCATCATAAGTGTTGAGATATGGAATCCCCTTCTGTCCAAACTGCACCGATCTAACCTTACAAAGTTTGAACTGCAAATAGCAGAAAACAATGTGACTACTCTAACAACGCAGCATCCCAAAGAAACAATAAAAACAGGAAATAGGTACAGATATGCTAAACGTTTAAGATTATTTACTCGGATGGCTCAGTACAAAAATCAAGAGCATGAAAATCTGACCTTGGCTTCCTCATCCCTGAGTGAGTGGAGACGGAAGCGACCCTTAGTGTCATAAAGCAATCGGAAGTTCTCATTTGTCTTTGGAATGGAAACAACATCTATATAAAAGAAATTATCAGCATTATTAATATGCCAAGGGATTCAACAAGCATTGCTGCAATGAAACGATACAAGGAAACGAAAGAGGCATGAAGCAAAAGGATTTTAAGTGAAAAACTTGATGACGAAGTGATCAACATTTGTCTTTGAAACTGTGAAAGCAAGTGCATATAGATTAATCAACATTATTATTTCGACAAGGAACTGAATAAAACTTAGCACTACAGAAAACAACGAAACCATAAACCAAAATGTTTTTAAATGAAAAACTATCTAATGGATGTGTTCTTACCCATGAAACCAGCAGGGTAAGTCTTATCAGTCCTAACTTTCCCATCAACCATAACTTGTCGTTGCATCAAAATTGAGATGACCTCACCGTATGTCAAAGCATATTTCAGTCTGTTCCTGAGGATAATAATCAATGGCAAACACTCCCTTGATTTATGTGGACCAGAAGAAGGCTTGGGAGCCTGTAGATGAGAACAAAGAGAATTGTAAGGTCAAGAAGCAGGAAACTATTCAGTGTTATTCAAAAAAAGACTATTAAGAAACTATATTTGACTTACAAAGGCCCCACCAAGCTTATCAAGCATCCAATGCTTAGGCGCATTGAGCCTCTTCAAATGTTTCTTCAACCCTCTTGCCTATACATAAATAAGAAACGACCAAGTTTATATCAGTATCATGTTTCCAAAAACTAAATCCGAAAAGTTTACAGACTTATATGAATTAAATTTACAAGAAAGGGAGCTGTTCCTCAGCTTTATATTAAAATAATCCATGTTATACAAAGCACGTGCAATCTTTTACACATAGGTAAGAACACATTCTACAATACATAGAACCAATAAATTGAACTGTTAAGTACTAATTACTACGCAAATTGCACTGTCCGTAATTAAGATAAAGGGCATTTGACTTTGCACAACAAAATACAATCAAAAAAGCTGACCCATTAATTCTTTTATCATTCTAAAACCCCAATTAATATCTAATGGAAGCACAAAATAATGCAATCGGCATTATTAGCATACACGAGCTATAAAATTAACCAGTGTAACTTGGGATCAACACCATGCATTACTGAGTGAATAACAAATATATAGAATAAAAAAGAATATCGTCTTTGATGCACAATCACATAGCAATCAAGTAGCAACTGTAAAGCTGATACAATTAACAAAAGCAATGAGGACTGAGATACAACTGATCTATCAGAAGACAAGTAATAAGCTAAAATAACCTAGGCGAGATGATCTAAAGAAGAGAAAAACGTACCATTTTGGCGGTTTTCCGATTTGAACAGCTGCCGGGAGAAGTTGGCTGCCGCCGATAACTGAGTCTTAAACCCTAAGTTGAAGATAAAATGTCTTTTAAATACTTTAGCACATGCCCTCGCTAGTGCCCAACTATTTTTGGGCCAAGTAAGTTGGGCTGTCTTCTGATTGGGCTTATTTTGTTTCCACTTTTTTGTTTTTCATTTTAAATTTTAAATTCCGATAAGAGATTTTTACATTCCTATACACTATATAAAACTATATTACCCTCCCTACTCAAGTTTTCCTATAATTATATTTTATATACCCAATTACCATTTATGTACATTTTAAGGGAATTAATGATAATAATTAGTGTCCTAAAATACTCTAACATATCTTCCACTCATCCCGCGTTTCTCTCTCCGCATCCCACCCACTCCCACACGTATCTTGCACTCACCCACGATTCCACCATTGATAACTATTATAAAGCTTTGAATCTTTGAATTCGAATTTAGGTTTTTAAAAAATATTATTTGTTTGAATTGGGTGTTGTTGCAAAGAATTGGGAATTCTCTCTACGTCTCGCTCTATCTCTCAATCCCTGATTTCAGTAATGTAAAGTAAAGGAAAAGAGAGAAGCAATTCCATCATTGATAACCATTAAAAAACTTTGAAGCTTTGAATTCGAATTTGGATTTTCAAAAACCATTATTTATTTGGATTGGGTGTTGTTGCAAGCAATTGGGAATATGGTTTGGAGTTTATATCTCAATTTTGAGGGGTTTTGATGAAGATTAGACTTGATTTTGGCTGAATTTCATATTGTAGAAAAATTGTATTATGTTGTTTTTATATTTTTTTTATTTAACTATTGTATTAAAGTTGAACAATATTGTATAAAAATTATATTTAAGTTGTATGATATTGTAGTTGTATACAACTGAGTAGAAATAATGTATGGAAATTGTAGATAAGTTGTATAATATATAATTAGGTGTATGAAATTTGTTTTTACTATGTATAAATCAGATGCAAAATATACAAAAGACATATTGTATAAATTTTATTTGTATTTAAGTTGTATGTTATTGTAGTTATTTTTAATTGGGTAGAAATAATGTGTGAAAATTGTAGATAAGTTGTACATAAGTTGTAGATAAATTGTATAATATATAATTAGTTGTATGAAATTTATTTTTACTATGTATAAATCACATGCAAAATATAAAAAGACATATTGTATAAAATTTGTATTTAAGTTGTATGTTGTTGTAGTTGTATTTAACTGGATAGTGTACGAAAAAAATCTCATGAATAAACTATGTGCTTATAAACAAATTCATAATATGTTAACAAACTGACAACTGAATAAATTGTACAGATAGAGAGTTAGAGACAGATAAAATTAATTTTACAAATTCAAAACTAACAAAAATTATTTTACTGTATCATTATTGCTTTGGAAGGAATATTGATTCAACTTTAAAGTCTAATCTTTGTCTGAGGTGGTAATCATTTTAGGCCTCATTTGGTTTTTTATTAAGACGTCTGAATCTGAATACACATCTGAATATCAAGATGTGTATTAAGATTAAGACATCCGAATACACATCTGAATATATTAAGATGTGTATTAAGATTCGAATACAAATAGTTAAGACTGTTTGATTTTTAACATCTGAATGTATAAAATTTATCTTTATTTGAAAATTAATAAACATAAAATTCAAATGAAATAACTAATCTAATATTCTATCAATAAAATATATAGTTTTTTAAAATATGATAGTTGTTGGTGGTGATGGCTAACGGGTGAATACCGACTAGAGGTGGTGGTTGGTGGTAGTTTTGGTTGATAATGATGGTTCATGCTAGTAGCTAGTAGTGATTGGCAGTGGTGGCGATTATGATTGAGGATGGTGGTGGTGGTGGTTGGTGATAGTTAATAATGGCGGGTGGTGGTAGTAGTTGTGACTGAGGAAGGTGGTGGATGGGTGGTGGTAGGTTATAATAATGGGCAGTGTCGGCTGTGGTTGTTCGTGGTGATGGGGTGGTCAGTTGTGGTAGTTGAGGTGGATGAATGTTGATTGTGGGGGAGAATGATGGTGGTCGGAGTGATGGGGATAGTGGGTGATGATGGTCGATAAAGGTGGCGGCTATGATTGAGGATGATGGAGGTGGTGGTGGTGGTGGTGGCGGCGGCGGCATGGTGGTAGTTGATAATGATAGGCAGTGGCGCCAATCAATAATGAATATGTGATAGCTTCTTAATGAAATTAAGTCTCTGTTATAGATCTTAATCATACAGACCTATTAAGACCCATTAAGTGGTTGTGAAGTAAAAAAACAAACACACT